ATTTCAGCACCCTGTTGCATTGGAGCACCATTTTTAAAATTGTAGAATATTCTGTCTATAATGCACCAAATTCATCTTTCTTAAAAGAACACTAAAATATATTTAATCCACTAAAAGTGTTTGTTAAATGTTTTAAAATGTCATTAACTATATACATTCGTCGTTCTTGCTACTACATGTTTCGGCCACATATGGGCCATCAATTTCTTTGTTCCCAAGCTCATGTCCTGGCAGGCTGGCGTCTCGAAACTCGGCTCATTTCACTGAAGGGCCTCGAAGTCGAAGTCACATTGCGACTGACGGTCAGTCAGTCAGTAAGTCTTGGTGTCGAGGCCCATCTGGGGCTCATGACCAGATATTTATTACTGTTTGACATTTACGGTCTTGCTTTTGTGGGGCGCCCTCTCTGACGAGAGGACGGGTCTGTCTTCTATATATGCTGCTGGCCCTTGCCAGCGCAGTTTTTCTCGCGTCCGAGTCCCTTGAGACTCGCGACCATATTTTACTGTCTCAGATTTGAGACTTCCCTTTTCGTCGCCTCCTACGACTCGCAGGGTCACGATGGAGGTATTCGACCCCGCCTCCACACGGGGGACTGTCACTGAAGGGCCTCAACTGCACTCTTCTTTATAACCACTTTGCACGGACCACACAGAACACACAGTCTATTGTTGGGAAGGCGTGTTTACAGCGCCGTTGCATAGTAACGTTATTGGATTCGCTAGCCATGTCCTCATGCGTTCTACATTTCTTCTGTATTTGCAGAGTTAACCTGTTACATGTGCAACTTTCCCGAGCCTCTTATCACTTGCCTCCTCTCAGATCCCTGTACCCAAACGGCTCCTGCCTACCTTCTTCCCCTGGAATGAGGCACCACGTCTCAGACGTCGAAGCAACAAGGCGGAATAATATTTTTTGTTTATCATTTTGATTTTTGCTTTTTTTGTTTTCTTTTCCAAAATTATGTTTCACTATGTAGGTTTGAAGTTCTCACAGTCCTGCTTAAGAAGAGATATGCCGCCGTACAGTTCGTTTAAAGTCGACGTAAATCCTTTGACTTGTAACGGACTACACAGCGTCACATCCAACAAGATCTGTCTCTGCATGATCTCAGTTCTTTTTGTGGACAGATACAGACAGAAAGCACATGGAGACCTGCTTCGCCGTCTAAAACACACTCTTCGTTGTATGTAACACTTGCTCGACTATTCATTCTATTTGCCCACGCGTTATATTTATGCGTTTCTTGCGATCTTCAGTATCTATATATCTATCTGTTTGTCTGTCTACCTGTTTGTCTGTCTGTCTGTCTAGCTATCTATCTTTCTGTCTCTATCTGTTTGTCTGTCTATCTATCTATCTTGATTCCTATTGCTCCCACTTGGAGCATAGGCATGCGTGAAACCCTTCGTTTCACAGTATTAGACAGTCAGTAGGAGTCCTCTGACGGGGGATCAGCCCGTCGCAAGGCCGCTACCTACACGCAAAGACCCACTCTTTGAGTGGGATTCGAATCCAAGATCCCAATGTTCGAGCGAGAGAAGACATTTCATTTCTTAGAACTCGCGGCCACTGTGATCAGCGATCCTCAGCATAAACAGTAATTATTTCTCTGCACGGCATTAGTCGATTGGTCCTCGTGATGGAGACGCAGTCTGTTTGACGGCGGAAGGAAGTGGATCTTTAATCATTTGTCTGCACTTTTGACTTCAAAACGTTGAGAATGAAGCCGGAGTTAGCGAAGAAACACATTTCTGCCCTTGTTTGGTCTCAGGTACCCACAGCGGTGCGGTAACTGTGAATGGTATTGTCCTCTGAGATCTGTAGCCTGGTAGAAATTCAACGACGTTTCGGAAGAACATACTGCCTTCACTTTCGGAGTCGAAGAAGAAGCAGGCGGCGAGCAGAGCAACCTCCTCCTTGCTTACGCTTGGACTCTGAAATGTCCGCGTCACCGATCAGGACAAGAACGGGCTGATTGCTGCCTGTGACGGTCCTAACCTCAAGAGACTGGCGCTGTCAAGTGTTACTCCCTCGCCGGACGGAGAGCCTCATGTGACTGGCTCGAGAAAGACGCACAGGGAGGTGAAGTCTTCATACAGAGGCGAGGGCAGTTGACTGATAACACAACACGCCACTATAGGTCGAAGGTTATCACAGGGTTGCCTTCAGTGGACCGCATCTTCTCGTGGCTCATCTGCACAGCGTCAAATGATGGGCTGTTTACTGAGCGGATGTGGCGGGAGTGAAGCGGCGGGAAGCGGCATTTTCCTGGAGGGACTCAGTCACTATAGCCAACGTTCGGGACGAGAGTTGAACACGAGACCTCCTGAATCTGAAGCAGTCTGGGCTTCTCATAAGGTGCGAGGGTGAACAGTCTCTTTCAGGGTACAATACTGTCCATGAATTCGACTGAAGAGGAATGTTACATTTCGCTAAAACTGGATTAACAGTTTATGACATATGTGAATAGGTTCGTTTATGACCTTGTGAAAACCTGACTTTTTATGGATCAGTATGGCTGCAAATCGGGATTGCCCGACAAATTTTAAATGAAATTTCCTAATGCCGAATTTAAAGAGGAAGTTCTGGGAAAAACTAAGCGCCTACTTTCATTCGATATGAAACGAGACCGCATAGACAACGTCAAGTCCAACAACTCTTCTATTGTTGCAGCGGTAACGTTTTTACGGAGCCGTTGCCTAGCAACAATAGCGGGATACAAATACAGACACACAGACTGATGGGAGGGATTTATAAAGTACGTCGTTGAGATGGGCTCAGGTTCTACGGTATACATACTAAATTTTATAAAGACTGGTTCAGCCATTGAAGAGTTGACAGGGGGATACAAAGACATCGTGGTGATTGCATAAACCTGCCTTTATTTCTTCAAAATAAGGGTAGTAGGCTAAAAGCAACTTGTCCTATGATTTAGGCGCCGGTATTGTACCACAGTAGACAGATGTACAGAGAGGCAGACATGATCACAGAGGACATTCGATGGGCTGGATATGTAGAACGAGTGCCGAAACAAAACAACTGCTTCTAGAAGGAAGGCATAGAATGGGAGAGTGAAGTTTGAACTGAGGGTAGATCAGATTCAGCGGTGGGTCTTTGTGTTAAAAGGCTATGAACTTCGGGGATTCCATCGCTAGGAGTCTGTTTGGTAGCTGTATCAATATTTACTGATCAAGGAGATCTTCGTTTTGGTATTCAGTCCTGAAAATGGAGGTAGTATTCTGCTATCCACCTACCAGACTGGACAGCGCCAGACCTCGACGAGACCGCGACGCAGGACTCGGCTACATCGAGCGTCGCGTCCCAGCGGGTAGCACCCGAATGGTCCCGGGTCCCAGTGTGTCCTAACTGACGGTTTTAATGGATTTCCCCAGTAACCTCGGGCAATTCAGTCGGTATTATAATGCAGCTTACGGGCTGGCCGACCCGGTTCAGTAGCGTCCAGACTGGCTCTGAGTCGCTCACAGCTTCCTGTACAGTGGGTACCGGGGATTATTTTGGGGGAATAAAATAGCCGGGACGTGAAGCTGACCCATCACGTCAACTTAGAGATGAGGTTAAGAATGCGTGGGGCTGTCCCTCCAGTCCCCATACGTCATCATGACGTGATACTTAATTTGTCTCTGGCTGTTTTACAATCCCTTCTGAATGAAGAGTATGCAGCATCGGCTGGAGGAATGAGCGATGAATTGGAATGGATCTGTAAGGAAGTGGTCTTGGCGTATACGAGTAGGTCCACGATCGGGGAATTTTCCTGTAGGGACTGAAGAGAAGCATCAAACACCTCAATCAGTGTAGCCGGTGTCTAGACTGAGATTCGAACCAAGGATGTCTCGAATACAAGCCTGTAGCTTTACCACCAGAGAACCTGTTCAGTGTGGTGCTTAATTAAGCACGGGCACACCTTTGTCTTTAATATTATCTCCATATACAGGCTAGGACAATACCTGAAAATGGACCATGATCAATTCTTTGTACGTCTTTTTCGATCTATTATTTACCAGTAACCTTGTATAATTTGATATATTACGAGTAATGGAATATTCTTGGGGGTAAAGGGCGGCCGGCGCATAAGGCTGACAACCTTGCCGCCATCTATTAGCCGATTGTCTACAAAATGTGGGAAACTCAAGTCTTACAATCCTTAGGGCTTCCACGGCCTGTTACAGAGATACCTTTACTTACTTACTTTTACAAGTAAATGCGCCGTTAGAACTGAGACAAGACCTCGATCCGGTCTTGTGGCTTGTGCACAAACTTTTATCGTACTGGTAAGCGAGTCTGAGGAGGGACAGGTCTCACTGAAGGGTCTCCAGTGCGTGCGGTTTCCATATAGGAGCCAGGATAGCTCAGTCGATATAGCGACGGTCTACGGGCTGGACGGCCGGGGTTCGATTCTCGATAGGGTAGGGAAATTTTTCTCTACTCCACAGCATCCCGACTGGCTCTGGGGCGTACCCAGTCTCCTATAAAATAGGGATCGAGGGCTCTTTCCCTGGGAGTAAAGTGGCCGGGGCGTGAAGCTGACCATTCATCCCCATTTAGTACTGAGGTGAAGCTCCTCAACTCTCCAGAACGTCTTAATGACGTGGTGCTTAATTAATTGAGCACAGGAACAATTATACCTTCTGTCTGGACAGTTTCAGTTTAGACCCAACGCACAAAGTGCGTTTGTCCACATCCCATGGAAGCACTAGATGCAAGTGAGAGGTCAGCTCACACGCAACGACATTTTACCAGGGTCCCACAGATGTTATGGACTTGGTAAAGTGAAGAGAAATTACGTCTCTGTCGGGATTCGAACTCCTACTGTCTGTCCCGTAGTGCATCGTTTTACGAGCTATCTGGATTAATGTCGCAGATTATCATCTTCAACTGTGTATTTTATCTTACGGAAATTGACATGCAGGCAGCTATTTTTAACCTCGCTCTTCTGGCACAGAGCTTTTGATACCTTGGCACATACAACTGGGCGCTTCTCACGGCCGGTGTGATTCACACATTGCCTTCCCAGTTGGAAGCATATATTGCACACTGCCTAAGTGATGTTCACAGTGCTAGTGATCCTTGTCACTGAAATACGAGAGAGAAAGAAGAAAGTGGAGAGGTAGTGAGAAACACTACATTTGGGAGGTTGGGAGTTAGAAACTGTGTTTCTGGTTTTGAAGGTTCCACGAAGTGCCCGCTCGTCCTTCTGGTACAGGTAAATCATTTGTTCGGAATTAATTTTTGCATGATGCTAGAAGGGCTGCATTATTGTGAAATTGTAACTGATATTGGGAGAGCTATATTAGAGCGAAATTTTGGGGATACCATTGAAAGAGCTGCATGTGAAGCATGCAGTGCAACTTTGAATTCGCGTACCAACTCAGCATTTGTTCTAGGACCGAGGGAAAAGAGGGAAAACCTTGATCGAGTTGGCCGGCCGCAGGAGCTTCCGAATGCAGACTGACTTCTAGCCAGCAGACAGGCATTAAATACGTGAGCCCTAACATTAGTCCCTGTATCTGTGCTGTTGCTTTAGTTTCGAGAAAATGTTTACATGTTTGTTTCTGCATTTGTTTTATGTGCATACTTGGGATGAGCAGCAGACTGTTATGTATAACATCTGTAGGGGCTGTAATTACATGAGCATTGATAAATTTAAATATCTATTGTGGGGAGAGGTTTGTTGTTCATCCAATAACAGGATTTTCTATTACAATTCATATTTAATCTCATCTTCTTTCCACCATGTTGTCCAACATAGATGAAGTGTGGCCGAAGTGGCCGCCGGTGTACTGGACGTTTTGAAAGGCTTTCAGTGTTTTTGTTATCTGTAAAGAAATCGTAGAGCGGATTATCTTGCAAGCAGGGATAAGGGACGCTGATCGTAGTGTCCTAGTTCTTGAATTTGACTGTTTTCACTGGTTACATTCTTTTGATATATTGTCCTCGCTAACCTCTTGAAATTACTCTTTATTTATGACATTGCCGTCTGTCCATGTAAGGTTGCAATCGGTGCTGCTCTCGGTAATTTTGGTATTGTTCTAAGGACTTTGTTTTGAAATGTCTGTAATTTATTTAGGCAGGTTTCGGCAGCATAGCTCCATGCGGCGGAGGCATATGACAATATGAAACGGAGAATTGATTTATAAATTACTAAGTCTAAATTAATGTCAGTGGTGGAAGATTTATTTACGACATGGAACAGTTAACTCAGTCTGCTATTAGCTTTGCGCAACATTCAGGATGTGTGGGTTCTGTATGTTAATTTTGAGTCAAGTGCAACGCCAAGCTATGTTTTCCTTAAAAATGTTTACTGGATGCGTACTGGGGCGATAGTGGCGCAGTCGTGTGGAAAAGAGTGTAATAGTGCATTTTTTGTATTAATCCTTATTCTCAATTTCCGGCACCACCGATGTAAAAGGCCTATGGCAGAGTTTAACTTCCCAACAGCTATATCTACGCTGCCTGACCGAACATTAATATTCGTGTCATCGGCATAGAACGAACTGGCTGTTTTAAGAGTACTTTCAACTTACGGAATGCCATTAATATAAATATTAAAGAGTGTGGCTCCGAGTAATCTACCCTGAGGCACTCCGGCTGAATGGGGCGTAGGCTTGAATAAGAATTCTTGTGAATTACACAGAAGGATTGATTCTGGAGACAGTAGTGAATTATATGAATGGAGTAAGATGGAATTTTGGCCGCAATGAGTTTAGCAATCAGCCCTGTGGTCCAGACCTTGTCGAATGCTCGTTCAATATCTTGAAATAAGGTTACTGAAGCTTCATTGTTGTTGAAACCGTGCGTAATGCGCTCCACGTTCCTTAATAAATCATGTGTTGTTGAGTGACTTCTTTTAAAACCGTATTGGTCGTTTCTGATAGCTTTTAGCTTTCTGAGTTCGAAGTTTAGTCGTTCCAAAATGACTTTCCCAAAAAGCTTACCTAAAGAATTTAGAGAGCTTATTGGTCTAAGTGGGGACGTGTGATCTTTACCTGGTTTCGGGAGTGTAATAATTTGATCCTCTCTCCATTGTGTAGGAAAATAATTTAGGGCAAGTGATCTATTAAATAGTTTGGCAATAAATTTGAGAACTAGCCTCGGCAGATGTTGGAATATTATATTCTGAATCCCGTTAGGCCCTGCTGCTTTGCGTGGTTTGAGGTGGCGGACAATCCAAGCAATTTCAGAATGATCTGTGACCCTCATCCGGCCTGTCGGTGGCTGTGTAAGAAAGTCATTCACTGCCTGTTTAGTCCTAACTGTAAAAGTACGATTCCGAGCGTTGCGCTGTCACGTCACAATATCATCAAACGATCTACAAGTTAAATATGTCCCTTGATTCCAAACGTAATGGACTGATTCATCGGCAAAATTCCTGTGCATCTGTAGGCAAATAGCACACCGCTCGCCGTGGAACGCAGAGCCACGAACTCTTGAAATTACTAAGAGAGATCCTGTATATATAGATTCGGTTCGTACCTTATAGGAAACCCATTACGTCTCTGACAACCAGTTAATGCCGTTTGGGGAAACAGTCGCTGTTTATTGTGAGAACGAAACGGAACACACATAATATATAAAGATTCAGTTCGTACGTCTCAGGAAACACATTGCACCTCCGCTACAAAGCCCAACCGGTTATTGTTTTTTTAGAAAAAGAGTTGTTGTTTACTGTGAGAATCATACAAAACATATAATGAAAATGTGGGCAAAAGGCAATGTCTTTTAAAACTAAAGTACGTTGTATTAAATATATACATGTATACCGCTGTGAATCGGAGGTTTAAGGCAGTGATTCTTAACTTTACCATATGCTTCTTTGTCCAATACAAAAAAAAAGTCATTGAATCACGTGAATGCGCAGGTGCGTGTTCACATATTTACAACAAGTAATTTGTTAAGCTAGCACGTTAAAACCCGAAAATATCTAAAAAAAAGGAAAAAGACGGATTTTGCCCGTATTATCGAGTCTTTTGTTTTCGCTTCACCACAGCCAATTTCTCATCGTCAAACTGTAATCTGTTGTTTCAAGAATCGTCAGATGTTTAGGGTTACAACCCTAAGTCGAGCTCGCTCTTTGTTCATGATTTCTTTCACTGATGAAAGGTCTTCATCACAGAGATAAGTACTTGCAAAATTACATTTATATCCCTGCACAAAGTTTCATAAGGCAGTAACTTACTGAGTTGGATAGCAGCAGCTGCGGTAGGAATTGCAGGGACTTCCCCTTTGATATTGCATTACATCTTAAACAGTCACTTCCATCTGCATATTTGTTCCCAGTTTGTCTAGCCAAGCCAAGATGGAGGCGATGTGTTCCTCATAAACATAGGGGTGTGACCGAAATACACGGCATCGCGACGTTTTATAGTCACTGCCGTAGGGAACTCCAAGTTTAAAGTAACAATGCTCATGTTTATAGTAATATCCCTCTTGCAATCATATCACGTTTGACACTGAGACTGTCAGTTTTCCGTATTACTTGAATGCATGAGTAGAATGAATGCAGGCTGTACTCCTCTACGTACTTTCGTCCTTTTAGTATTAATAATATACTCGTCATCCGATCATACGTGTGTTAACAGTACAGCAGAACTCATCGCTTGCTTTCCTTTGATACTACACGGACCGCATAGAAAACGTAGAGTTCACGTGACCCCTACTTCCTGTTGCGCCATCTGCGTCACAACATTTACCGAGCCGTTGCTTAATAACCATAGGGGGATACACAGACTCAAACTCTTCTGTGGTACGACACGGACCGTATAGAGAACGATGCCACCAATAATTATTATATAATTAATAACCCTATGATTATTAATTATAATTATTCGTTGCAGCGGGAACGTGTAACATGCCTACCGAACCGTTGTCTAGCAACTATATAAAGGAGACACATGCAGACACACAGAGAAATCGGACGGATTTATGAAGTACGCCGTTGAGATGGGCTCACGATATACATGCCAAGTTCCGTAAACATTTGTTCAGGCATTCAGAAATTGATTGGGGGGGGGGGAGAGAACACACAGCGAGGTGGTCTCATAAGCGCACTTTCATTTTTTTTCAAAATAAGGAAAGTAGGCTAAAAACATCGAATAGAGCCCTGGACCCCATAAATGTGGATTTTTTGATGCGGAGCCTTGAAATTATAGGTCGGGCAACACATAAGTACCGCGGTTGGCAGAACTGGATGGAAATGAAAACGGCGGGATATTTAAAATTGACAGTTCGTTCCAGCAATGGCTATTTCAACGAGCACAGATACTCACAAACACATTTAACCGGAGAACAACAGCCAGTTTAAGTCAGCAGCAAACTGGTAACATTAATATATGGATCCTGTTTGTTACAGGCTATCTGTCCCAGAGAGATTCATTATTAAAATAAATACAAAAGCAACTGACGTCATATTTATTTGGAAGAAATAGCGAAGTTTACAGATCCGTTGTATAATGAAGGTCATTTTGATTCATACATGTTTAGGCTGTAACTTCGTCGTAATTATAAACAATTTATGGACATTGCTTCAATAACTAATGAACTGTCAGGAAAGATAAAATTTGTTTCTGTATTTCACCATACACACTGCATTAACAAAGCTATTTCACGCACACGAAGCCATGATGTCGACCATATCAGTAAAATTCTTGAGAGCCTTGGCGGACAAATTTTGCGTACCTGCCTGTATGGACATCCTTTTCGTGCATGTTTTGACTAGGAAAGAAACGTTCCAGATCTTCATAAACTAAGTCACGTTCCATGATAAATGGCAGCTACAAATCGCATAGCCACATCAAAATATTATCAGTACTTACAGAATAGACACGATACACTGAACAAAAGACTACTCACGCTTTCGTGACCTACTACATAACTAATATCCATCAATCTTGTTAACGGTGAACAAACAATTCCTTGCTGTGGTAACCTGAACTTGATCAATTCCAGAGCTTTCATCTCACAGTTATATTATTTTAAATGTATATACAGAGTATCCCAGGAGGAGAGATCAGTATTCTGAGGGATCACAGTATCGGTCATTCTAAGCAAAAAAGTGTATATGTACATGTGTCCTGTTCCGAACGGTTTCCGAGATGCAGCTATTTCACTGTACAATACCAAAATTGTTGATAAGAAAGAAATCTTACGTGCTGTTTCTAATACCGGTATTTATTTTTCAAGTGACAAAATCGGTACAGTTTACTTATTACAATACATTTTCGAAAATTCCACCGTCAACATCAATGCACTTTGCAACGCGTGTGAGGACGTGGCGTGTTGCTCGTCTGTACAGTGTACAGCAGGCATGTCAAACTCAACTTGTACAGAGGGCCACTTCAGCCCTATAAATAATAGCCCAGGGCCGCACTTCAAAATAGAAATATACATTAGATTTTGATACAAGGAAATTTAATTCTATTTATTCGTGTTATTTAGGAATAATTTCAATATAATTACCTAAAGTCACATATCTTACAGTTTTA